GGGGGCCCCCCTGGAGCTGCCGCGGCTCCCGGAGCCCAAAAATCCCCAAAACCCGGAAAAAAGCCCCCAAAATCCAGAAAAAAATCCCCAAAATCCAGGGAAAAAAACTCCATAAATCCCATTAAAAAACTCCAAAAATCCCATAAAAATTGGAAGAAAATTGGTTAAAAAACAAAAAAAACCCCTAAAAAAATCACAAAAAATCCCAAAAAATCCCCAAAAATCACCCCAAAAAATCCCCCAAAAATCCCCAAAAAATCCCCAAAAAATCCCCCAAAAATCCAAAAAAAATCCCCCCAAAAATCGCAAAAAAATCCCAAAAAAATAAAAAAAAAATCCCAAAAAATTCCCAAAAATTCCCCAAAATCCCCCCAAATTCCCAAGGCTCCCGTTGGATTTTGGGGTTCTCTCTGCTCGCAGTGGGGGCCCCCCTGGAGCTGCCGCGGCTCCCGGAGCCTTCGGAAGCCGAGGTGGAGCTTTGGCACCGGCGTTACCGGGAGCGGCTGCGGGAGCTCTTCGAGGAGCACAAATCGGGGTACGGGGTCCCCCCCGAGCGCCGCCTCAGCTTCGTCTGAACCCCAAAAACCTCCCCGGACACCCCAAAAAAATCGGGGGGGAACCCCCAAATTTCTGTACCCCCGAAAATGGATTTTAAAGCCAATAAATCGCTTGGAAATGAGGAATATTTTGATTTTTTTTCGGGATTTTTAGGGGGTTTTGGGGCTCCTGAGCTGCGTCTGAACCCCAAAAACCTCCCCGGACACCCCCAAAAAATCGGGGGGGAACCCCCAAATTTCTGTACCCCCAAAAAATGGGTTTGGATTGAGGAATATTCTGATTTTTGGGAGATTTTGGGGGGTGGTTTTGAGGATTTTGGGGGGAATTTTGGGGCTTTTGGGGGAATTTTGGGGTTTTTTTTGGGATTTCGGGGTACGAGAGGCTCCAAAACTTTTGGGGGGTCCCTTTGGGGTCGGGATTTTGGGGGAAATTTGGGAATTTTGGGTTTTTTGGGGGGGTTTGAAGGTTTGGGGGGGAATTTTGGGGCGGATTTTGTGGATTTTGGGGGGAATTTTGAGGATTTTGGGGGAATTTTGTGGATTTTAGGGGGAATTTTGAGGATTTTGGGGGGAATTTTGAGGATTTTGG